TAACACTGAAAGACAATACTTTTGCTTTTTGTCGATCAATATGTACTAATCTATTTTATTTTTATCTGTTTAACAGTGGGGCGTCTCATCACTATCCTCAGAAAAAGGTGTGTGTATGGGTTTTTTGAAAACAGATTATTATGGTAACTACAATGCTACTTTATTTATGGTTATATCTTCATCAGCAAGAAGCGTAGCAGATTTTTCTCACTTTTCCACTGAAGCAGAATCGATCTTATTACCAGCTACCAAATTCAATGTTATTAGCAACGAAATCAGTACAATACATAAAGGATTAGCTGAAATAAGTCTTGAAGAAATTGAAGCTTCTCCCGATGGTAAATCACTTACTTTGAAACTAGTTTGTTCTTTTTTCATGCAAAGAGTTGAAAACAAGTCATGATTTGGATTTAATTCATAAATAAAATTGATAGTAGAACGACCGGAAAAATATTAAACATGTCAATTTAAAACAAATATTATTGAAATATTTCTAATATTAGCAGTTTCTACAACAACATCGAAAGCTACAGTAACGACATCAAAACCAACGACTACGTCAAAAATAACAACAACATCAAAAACAACAACAACAACACCAAAACCAACGACAACATCAGCAACAACAACGACATCAGCAACAACAACGACATCAAAATCAACAGCCACATCAAAATCAACAGCCACATCAAAATCAACAGCCACATCAAAACCAACAGCTACATCAACAACGAAAACAACATCAAAACCAGTGAAAACGTCAAAAGCGACACCAACATCAACAAAGAAAAAAACACTAACATTAACAACAATCTTGAAACCATCATCAACATTGGCTAGCGCTGGACTTGGAAAAAGGTAATGGGATGAATAGAAAGAAACAACTGAAAAAATCACTTTTAAAAGATCAATTTGATCACAGAACGAGAGAGACGATCGCATATATCTGCTTAAATAGGGAATGCATCCATCACTGAATCTCAAATTTTTAATTCTAAGGATGTGTATTGGTTCACTCCATATTACTATTGTACTACAGTTTGAACAGAAAGTATCTCCTCAAAAGAAAATATATATACATTATGTATTTAAACTTGCTTTATAAGAGAAGAATATCTCTTTTGAGAAGGATTGTTTCCACATGTTACTTGAATTCGTATACCGGTACAATGATTTTGAAAAACAATTATAACATGTTTATTTGTATAAATTTGTTGAATTTATTCTAAACTTGAATTGTATTATTTAGTGATAAGAAAAGAAACCTATTGTTGATTGTGACTGTTGTCATCGTCACATTTGTAATTATCTCTGGGCTTATTACAGCCGTTGTTTATTATTATATGAAAATTAAGTAGTATGGATGATCACAATTATCAAAACAATTAACAATGATCACTGCACATTTATTTACGTTTTCTTCTCCTATTGATTATAATTGAAATTTCGTCGACATTTCATATTTTCGATTAGAACGACTCATACAATTAATTCAAGTATTTTTGCATTTTTGTTTGTCATAATATTTTATATGCCATTATTTTCATTATAGATAGTGACAGTTTTTAATATATCTATTAAAAAGTAACAAATCATATAACTCAATAGTATTGATCAGAAGATGAGACTGAGTATTAATCTATTATATTTATTCGTAAAAAAAATAGTGGAATAGTTCTAATCGATTCGCATTCAGTTGATGTATCACTTTCAACTTTGTTGTATGTAAATCATCAATAAACACGATACTTCATTCAACAGAATTTGTCATCCAAAAAATATTGTCAATGGCCGCAGTAGAATTTTTTCAAAAAAAATGCATTGTAGATTTGAAGAGCATATAAAAAGTGATATATATTCAAACTAATTGGAACATGTGTAAAAATTGATTCTATTGTGTTTTCTTCTTTACTGATAAGTTCGACAATAAACTAGTATAAATTTTTCTTTCGAGACTTCTGATTTAGGAATAGAATAGAAAGTTGACAAAAAAAATCATCTTCAACTTCGAAGCTAAAGTTATTATGATGAACAATATTAGTTGAATAGTCAGAATTGACTAACATATTTGAATGTCTCTGAAGCATCGATGATCTTTGAAACATTCATAAATATTTTACCAAGGTTTGTGTATGTCGATAATAATTTATTGATCAAATTCTACCCGAAGTTTGTCTCTTTTGTAAGATGATATTTGAGTTGATATGATGAACATGATGTTTCAAGTAAGTCAATGGTCTCAATATTCAGTTTGTGCCAACTTGTTGCAAACAGTGATTTTCTTGTAAATGATATGCTCATGTCATCGAAATATTTTCATCATATTTTTGTAATATTTCATTCACTTTCAATCATGAAGGTATCTTGGATAGTTGATTAGCTACGCTAATAGTAGGACTATGATGTGGTCGAAAGCTTTTTTCTAAGATAGACAAATTTGAATTTGTGTGAAATATGTATTTCTATTTAATTTATTCTATGATTGAAATCACATAGACGAATAAAAATCTATAATTTTATTATAAGATCAATATTAAGTTAATAGGACAAATGCTATTTTCAACTTTTCAAAACATCTATATAGTTTTGACAAGATTGATGCTGATGTCTTAGTTTGTGAAAAAGTGGTAGAAATATGTATTTAATCATTGATCTGAGCGTTGTTGAGATATCAAGCAATTTACCTATTCGATATTCTTTTTTTTTTCTTATATCAAACGTTAGATTATCTCACGAAACTACTAATCGGACGATGATACTCTTGAATGAAAAATCATGAAACAAACAAGTTGATTTAATTAGTCGATTGATGCAAATTTATTCGAGTCAATGAGAAATGAGTAGACTAACTAATCATGATAAACTGGCCAACAACTATTATGTGCTGTTAATGGTTATTGATTATTAGGTATTAACCATTATTAGTTATGCAAAAATTTTTTATTCATAACTGATAATGAATAGTTCATAATGGTCATCTACACAATCTTTGTTCATAATTGTTGCTTGAACAAGACTCGTTCAAAAAACTTACGAGAAAACTCTCCCAACTGATTCCAAATATCAGGGTCCTAGACGTCTTCAAGTTTTTATAGATTCTGTGCCCTAACATTATTGAATTCCATTTCTGATCAGTTTAACTTATATCGCTAGAAAAAATATTCACACGAAAATTTAATTCACCAGTTGGAGAACTTTTCTCGTTATGATGTGTTTGCAAGCGTAGAGCTGAGCTTTTAAATGTTCCATTACTTTATTTCTCACCCATCGAAGGTTCTCGATAATGTAAAGAGGGTCTGGATCGCATTAATACCCACATTCACACCATGTACCAACACGGCTCTTGTGAATAAGTAAACTTCTACCATCTCATCGTCAATAGTTTTAAGCTCTTACATGAATTTTAAAATGTGAATTAGACCTTCGAGCAAGAAATCGGTCTTTGTGTCATTGTTTGCCACCTTTTCGATAGCCTTTTTTCTTGTGACTCTCCTTAATGAGAGTAAATGAACAAGAAAAAATAGAATAGAATACTTAGATGAGCAAAATTTTAAAGAAGCAGAATTATTTTGAAATCACGAATTGCAAAAGTCTACGAGTGAAATAAACGAAATTAAATTTGACATCGTCCACAAAGATATAAACAGTGAAGAATATGGATGAAGTATGTTTTCGAGGATTTATTTCGAGCAAAAACTTTACGAAATGATTAACTATTATAAGTCTTTTATGATGTATGAGTGTGTAATATATGTTTAAAAATGGTATGGATGATGATATGTGTCGTGTGACACTAGCATAGTTCTCATGAGATGATCAATCAAACTACTTGCATTGAACATCTTAATATTTGTATTATCGCTTATTTTCATAATGCGATCATTTTCGTCTCTCTCTCTCTCTCGTTTTCGCAAATTTTACTTTACCGACATCTTTTTATTTCAACTAAAACAAAATATACGCAATCAGGCAGACAAGTAAGTGTATGAGATACACGCCTGTAAATACAATGTCTATACTATGATTAAAAATCCGTCTGTAGATAAAATGTACATAGATGGTTAGATAGGTATATATATATGGTTATCAGTTCACTTCCACAGTTATTCGTAGAAAAACAAGTGAAGAGTAAATTACAATAAAAAAAGGATTCGAATAAGTAAGCTGGATGTTTAAACTGAAATTTTTAGGATCACTTTCCATCTATATTAACTTGATTAATACTTCACATTAAGCACGAAAATAATTAGTATGTACTTAAAGAGTATTCCCTTATATAATACAAGTTACTGATAATAAGATCTGAACAGATTAAAAAATTAAGATTCTGTCAGATTTGTAACACTAAAAAGCCGAATATTAGTTTCATAAGTCGATTTTCATTTTGATTTCTATAGCATTCAACTGAATCGTATAAAGTTTTGATAGAGTCTCATTAAACTCCGATAAAAATTTGATCGAATATTGATTTGATCTCATTGTCAAATAGATTCTTCTAGAATCGTCTCTATACTATATCAATGAATGTTTTTTTTATCTTTTTCAATCTGAATCATTATTTTTTGAAATTGTTTAATTGTTGAAAAAAAAATCATATTAGAGAACGCTCACATAGATTGACTTATTTTTGCTTTTCAACAAATGTAAAAAAAAGAGTAAGTTCATTGATTTGTATATTAATGAGACTAAATACATTTTAGTTCAAAAATAAAAATTATTATAACCTAAGATATATTTCAATAGAATGAATAAATTGTGTTTTATACGTAATACTGATTTTCATTCGATGGTCATTTTAATTTTGAGAATCACGTCAAGAGATATGAATCGGAATCAGTATTTTGAATAGTAAGCAGATATATCAAACAAAAACATGATATACAGATCATCTTCTGCTTCTCATGTCTGTTCTATTTTATTCGTTGGTTAGAAAAACAAAATGTACTACAAAATATACTTTGCTAAAGAAATTTCTATTTTAATTCCAGAACTTAAAATGTTGTATGTCGTTTTCAAATCAAAGATTATATTTGTTATATAAAGTCATATTTCTTGTGTTCTCTTACTTTTTGTTTTGTATATACGTCAAAGGTTTAAAATGCATGTATATTTGTGATTTACTCATTTTTTTTAAGTTAATTTCATATTTTTCATTAAAGAAACCAAAAGATGTGCATTAGTGTTTTTGCTTTTTTTTTATTTTGAAAAACATGTCTTTTGTCTATTTTCTACGCTTTACTCATCTAAATAGAATGTAAGAAAACGTTTTGTTTTAGATTTTCAATACAAAATACTCACTTCAACTAAAACATTGAAGCAAACAAGCCACACAATAGCTAATACTATAACATTACTTGTTCAACCTCCTACCTATTGATAAACTATTAACTATTTTATCGTAACCAAAAAAATCTATTTTATTCAGCAATTAAATGAGTAAGTCGTTGACATTTAATTATTAAGAAAAAAAAACCAAAAAATACTTCTTTGTATTATTTAGATAATCAATTTATCAATTCATCTATAATTAATCAATCTCATCAAGTAACTACATATTTAGTTTTTGATGATAATAAAGTTCAAGTAAGTAATATTTTTCATCTATTCAATCTAGAAAAAAAAACCTTTTCTTTTAGCTTGTTCAAATATCTATTGGTAATTCAAAGCCTGTTATATTTTTAAATGAAGATGGTAAAATTCTTCAAGCAACACCTTTACCTGGTGCTGTAATAGTTAATCGACCTTTTATACATTCATCTAAAATAAATGGACATTACATCATATGTAAGTACTTATCAATGAAAAAAAAATGAAAACATTATTTATTCTCTCTCCTCAAATAAAAAAGAAAAGAAATAAAGA